ATATCAGTTAAAAAGAATTTGATAAAGAAAAAAAATCTACAGTACTCAATTTGTGTTCTATATAACAATAACATAAAAAAGAAATTGTATAAATAAAACAAACTTGACAATTCTTATTTTTGTAGAAAAAAAATGAAATCCTAATGCTGTGTTTGGTTGGGGGATTTGAGGAGGGATTTGGAAAGGGAAATGAAAAAGGTAGGTGAAATGTGAATAAAACATGTCTATATTTCACTTAATTTCACACATCTTTTCCCTTTTCCTTTCCAAATCTCTCCCTAAATCTCCCAATCAAACACAACATAAAAGAAAGTAAAGAGAGAAAGTAATTTATGAGAGAAGAGAAAAAATGTAGAGCAGTTAATTGAAGAACAATGGTTGGAAAAGAAAAAAAAAAAATTGTTAAACAAAAAAATAAAAATAAAATGAAATCCTAGAAGAAAGAAAAGAGAGAAAGTAATTTATGAGAGAAGAAAAAAAATGTAGAGCAGTTAATTGAAGAACAATGGTTGGAAAAGAAAAAAAAAAAATTGTTAAACAAAAAAATAAAAATAAAATGAAATCCTAGAAGAAAGAAAAGAGAGAAAGTAATTTATGAGAGAAGAGAAAAAATGTAGAGCAGTTAATTGAAGAACAATGGTTGGAAAAGAAAAAAAAAAAATTGTTAAACAAAAAAATAAAAATAAAAAAGAAATTGTATAAATAAAACAAACCTGACAATTCTTATTTTTGTAGAAAAAAAATGAAATCCTAATGTTGTGTTTGGTTGGGGGATTTGAGGAGGAATTTGGAAAGGGAAATGGAAAAGGTAGGTGAAATGTGAATAAAGCATGTCTATATTTCACTTAATTTCACACACCTTTTCCCTTTTCCTTTCCAAATTCCTCCCAAAATCTCCCAATCAAACACAACATAAAAGAAAGTAAAGAGATAAAATAATTTATGAGAGAAGAGAAAAAATGTAGAGCAGTTAATTGAAGAACAATGGTTGGAAAAGAAAAAAAAAATTGTTAAACAAAAAAATAAAAATAAAATGAAATCCTAGAAGAAAGAAAAGAGAGAAAGTAATTTATGAGAGAAGAAAAAAAAGTATATAGCAGTGAATTGAATAAGAACATGATTGAGTGGGATGTTAGGAATTTATTTATTTATCAACTAAATGTCACGTGGCAAAAATTTTAAAAGATTAAAAAAATGGCCTCACTTAATATAATACTATATATATATATATATCATCAATACTGTATATCTACATAATTTTTCTCTCACAATCTCTTGAATAAAGTGACAAAATAAAATACATATAAGGAGAATTTTGAAAAAATATTAAAATGAGTTAATTTTTTAAATTTTACTTATCACGTTATTTGAGAAAAAAATTATGTACACAAATCAGTTTTCATATATCATTTATAACAAAAATAAATACACGCGATAAATATATACACATAATTTCATCACTTTTGTAAAATTAAATGACAGCTATAATTTTAAAAATAATTAAACAAAATCTATAGTTATTGAATTAATTAATTAATTTTTATAAATGATCTATCATTAAATTGGATAAGGAAGACAAGTACAAGGTAGGCTGTAGTGGACCCCACCACGCGAGGAGTGGACTGGATCTGGACCCAGCCCAAAAAAGAAGAAAATCGAAGACGCATAACAAAAACCGGATAGACCATAAAAAATAAGAGACACATTATTGTTGTCCTCGTCAGCAACTAGCTGTGCACAATTCTTACCTTTCTATACTCTACACGTTTCTAGATCTAGTTTGGCAAGGGAGTTTTGCGTTATTTTTAGCTAAAATTTTAAAAAAATAAAATATGTTAAAATAATTAATAAGATAAAATATTACATTAAAATCATAATCATTTTATTTTATTTTTTATAAATATCACATCCAACTATAAAAAAAAAACCAATTATCCCTTTCTATACTCTACACGTATCTAGATCTAGTTTGGCAAGGGAGTTTTGAGTTATTTTTAGCTAAAATTTTTAAAAAATAAAATATATTAAAATAATTAATAAGATAAAATATTACATTAAAATCATAATTATTTTATTTTTTTTATAAATATCACATCTAACTATAAAAAAAAACCAATTATCTTCACAAATACAAAATTTAAACCTATTAAAATAGTCAAAAATTAAAATAGTTAACTCCCTAAGCTAGGCCATAATATTACTTTTACCTTAATAGAGAAATACATAGTAGTGTATTTCTATAATAAATAAATAAATAAATTACAAGTTAGTGGTAATTTAGTAAATTTTATCAATATTAGGCTGAATTATGCTTGGTATATCTCTACTTTTATTAAAATTTTACTTTAATAACTTTACGTTCGATTGTAACAGTTAATTCCTTTACATTTTAAGGTCTCATTTGGAGATAATATGTTTTAGTCAAAAAGTCATTATAAATTATCACATTACTCTCTTTTTTTTTTTACACATCTTTTTTTGTAAAAAATAAAAAATTATTAAAATAGTTTGTTCTAAAATCTCACATTTCTATTCATTTATCATAGCAAAGTTGATGAAATTTGTCATTTAAAGTGGGATAGAACTACATGCAGGTGGGAGTTGGGGGTACAAGTGTATTTGTGGTAGGGTGCAAATAAAAAACTGTGGGGGTGCAATTGTCACTTGTACATCTTCATCTGTTGGTAATTTTTTCACCAACTCCCACTCGCATGCACTTTCTTCTTTAAACTATATGTGATATTTTTATTGTTTCATTAACACCCTTACATTTTTATTAAAATCTCACTTTAATTGTCATATTTTCATCAAAATCACACTTTTATCTTCCATTTTCTATTTTTGTTAACTTTATTCACGGTAGATTGACGGAACAGTGATATTACAGTTTGACTTAAAATATAAAGAATTGACTGTTTCAATTAAAAGTGAATAAATCAAAAATAATTTTGGTAAAAGTGTAACGTGTAAATGTAATTTATCCTTAATGTTATAAAATTTTCAATGAATTTGTGTGTATATATATATTTGAAGTTGAGTGAAGTGTAAATTTTTCTAATTTAATTATAGGTAAATTACAAATATTTTTTTGGAATTTACTTAAAATATAAATTGTCCTTGTAATTCCGAAAATTATAAACATGCTCTTGTCAAAAAAATATATTTAATAGAATTAATAAAATAAATAAATTTTATAATTATTCTTTTATGTAACAATAAAATTATTTAAATTCTTAATTAAAATATATTTTTGACATCATAAAAAAATTATTAATTGAATTAATAATTTATTAATAAAATAATAATTTGTAATACAATAAAAAACTTGAAAATGTGAGATATAATTTTTTGAACACAATAGACTATTCATATTTCAAGTCGAGGGACCCAAATTTAGGGTCTCAAATTTTGAACCAGAATGGATTGTGTGGTGCACATTAAAATGGTGTATTAGAGGAATAAATCTGAATCACAAGTTGATGTTTCTAGGTAAATTCAAAACATATTATCCTAGGTAGTAGTATTAGTGTTTAAGTAAACCTGTAATTTCTCTTTTAATTACTTTTTTTTTTTTTTTAGGTACATTGGAAAGACTTAGGTAACGGTTGGTTTACTTTATAAAACTCAATTTTGTTTTTAAATTATGATTTGAGTGCAATATGTTAAGCAAAATATATTTTTAAAATACAATTTAAAATTACTTTTTAAATTCCTCTCTTTTATTTTTTTTTTCCCGATTATTATTAATCAACCAATCACTTTTTCTCTTTCACATTTTATATATCAATTAATCAAAAAAGTAAAAAAAATTACAAATTATGTCAAAACTATTTTCAAAACTCGTAGCCAAACAAATTTTTCTTTTTCAAATCATAATCCAAAATACAACTTCACTTAAATCATAATTTCTTAAACTAAACTTAAAGGACCTTAATTAATTCCCTTCAAATCACTATATATTCTCCTTTGTCTGTCAACTGAATCCTCTCCTAAAAACGAAGAACTTCTAGAGGCCTCATTTGAAAAATTAGTTATTTTATTAAGTTATTTTAATTTTTGATTATTTTATTAGGGGGGGTATTTTTAGGGGATGTAGCAAGGCCCTATATATATATATTAACAATGATTCATCCCCCCTTTTCCTCCCACCCCCTTTGACCCCCTCTCTCTCTCATTGGTTACATTTTCTTTTTCTTTTTCTTTTTTTTCCTACTCCTCCAATCACCACCCGCCACGTGGCAAAGAGGGTGAGGGGGTGACCCCCAAAAGGGAGTCCCAAGCATTATTCTTTCACAAAAAGTCAAAAAGTACACTTATTTAGTCTTCCCAAACTTGGCCTTAAATCATAATTTCTTAAACTAAACTTAAAGGACCTTAATTAATTCCCTTCAAATCACTATATATTCTCCTTTATCTGTCAACTGAATCCTCTCCTAAAAACGAAGAACTTCTAGAGGCTTCATTTGAAAAATTAGTTATTTTATTAAGTTATTTTAATTTTTGATTATTTTAAATATTTGTATTTAAAAAACATAGTTAGATTTTTTAAAAAAAATTAAATGTAATATTTGTAAGAGAAAAAATAAAATAATTATAAATTTAATATAATATTTTATTATATTAAATATTTTAACCTATTTTATTTATTTATTTTTTTTTTATAAATTTTAACTCAAAAAATAAAAAATAACCTTTGCCAAACATGGAGAGAGAGAGCGAGAGAGAGAGAGAGAGAGTAGTTTAGTCTCAAAACCACATTCGTAATGAAGTCTGTATAAATAGCCTCAAAAGCTGTGGTCAAACCACACCAGAAAACCATTTCTCTCTCTCTCTCTCTCTCTCTCTCTCTCTCTCTCTCTCTCTCACCAGAAAACCATTTCTCTCTCTCTCTCTCTCTCTATAAAGGTCTCCACCTTTTCGACCTCCATTACACAAAGCTGAAGATTCTCACATTTATCAGTAATATGAAGCACCTCTCTCTCTCTCTCTCTCTCTAGAATTATATGTGTACATATATACATGTGAATGAATGTAAAATATATGTATTTATAGCGATAACGGTACATTGAGAGTTTGAATTGCGGCTCAAAATTAAGGGATTCACTTTTGAATGTTTCAAACTTTGCGCTAAAATTTTTGCGAATGATGTGTTGTTTAGTGGATCTTTCTCCACATACTAAATTTAGGTCTCGTCGGAATTTCCTTGATTTTTGCCTTTTACGGATTAATCAACATACATCGCGCTCTTCTCGTAATGTAATTCGTATTTCCTTTTTTTTTTTTTTTTGCCTTTTTGTTTATCATTGATGATTTTAGCAGCTAATTTTATGCATAGAAGAGTATCTTATTCACCAATCTTTAATTTGATTGTAATCTTTCACAAGCATATATATTCTATGTGTGTGTGTGATTTGTTTTCCATGTTTTGATGATCTACAATGATTATAACAGGTTACTCCATTCAAAAAAAATATATATATATATATATTTCCAAAATTAAGGCAGTGGAAAACAGACTGAATCAACTATATAAAAGGCATGTAGTTTGCATTTCAACCTTGATTTAGTGTCCTTTATTTCAATTTCTTCTGTTGATTGATTTGGATTTGAATCCTAGATATTAATTTCCAAAATCTTATTGAAGTCAAAGGTCTTAGGAAGAAATTTTGTTTATTTAATGTGTTTTTCGCAATTTCTATATTAAACTTGTTAATGTTTAGGGAGGTTTAGGATACCAGAAGGAGAAGATGAATAATTCGGTGTCGGACCAGAGTTTTTACATTGAGAGCGAAGATGAAGATCAGGAGAATGAATTTAACAAAGGTGAAGATGATGGGAATGATTCGGATTCTTCCAATTATTCAAATGAAAACGGGCAGCAGAGCAAAACCGGTTCTCTCAACACCACCACATGGCCTCAAAGTTACAGGTCTCTATATCCTTTTTTATCTGTTTTTCTTTGCTCTGTTTCATGCATATCTTAGTTAGTGATCTGGAATTCGTTTATTGAACAGGGGAACCTACAGATTTTTCATTATCTTTTTCTGTGTTTCTGGATTGTTGTGATCTGAAAGTTTTGTTTCTTCTGAAAAAATATGAATGGTGAAATCCTTTTAACTTGCATACTCTTTAAGCTCGTGCAATGCTATAGGTCCAAAGAAGTGAAATAAATAAATAAATTAATGATTGAGAGAGGATCTGGATCCACATATCATTATGGTGAAAGTGAAAAAGTGGATGAATTTGATTTTGAAGGGACTATAAATTCTCAGATGAGGTTACATGGGCCCTGGCTGTTGCCAGTGTAACACTTTGGTGAATTTGACAAAAATGCTCAAAAGTCAAGATTAAGTGTAGTGAATTTAAAAGGGTAACTCCGTCTTTTCACTTTATGTGTAGAATTTAGAGGGGGTGAAAACAACAGTTCAGCATATACTCTTGGATTGGCATGAACTTGGGAAAGTTTCTAGAACATTAGAGTTAAATATTGTCATCTTCTTAATGTGAAAACAATCTTGAAATTAACAAATCATACGTGAACAAATAAAAATTATAATACTTGAGAATAGTTCAAAACTCTTTCAATTATTCCACATGTGAATCGGACGTGTTACACACATGATGGAATCCTCAAATGTTAGCTTTTCTTTGTGATGTATAACGTATTGCTTCTATATCTACTTCCAAAAACTTAATTTTTTCTCAACTAAATTTTCAGGCAGTCAATTGATCTGTATAGTAGTGTGCCATCTCCAAGTATACAATTTCTTGGCACTAGTTCATTATCAAGATTAAGCAGTTCATTTCTTTCCTCATCACTGACAAGGCGACACACTCCTGAGATTCTACCTTCTGAGTCTAAACCTCTGTTGTCAACACCAGAAGATGAGCGACAACCGAAACAAAGACGTAGTTCACATTCTCTGCTTCCTCCTATTCCATCAAGGAAGTCTTCTGTGAGGAAATCAGTCAAGATTTCACATGAAATTCCAGTTTGTCAACAGAGCTCATACGGCCAAGCTGTGCTAAATGGTAAGTTACATGAGCTCATTTTCAGTACTTATATATGTTAGTTACAGATTTAACTTGTTGGGATCGTATATAAAAGGCTCCACATAAGTCAGCTGATAGACTGAATCTACCATATTAATGTCTGGATACTGCACGTGGCTATTAATTGTGTGTTTGTAACCTTGGTACAAACTATGACTTGGTGAAGCTAGTTAAATTTTGACATTTTAGTAATTCATGAAGTATGGTGTGTGAAGAACTGCTAGCTTTTTGATGATCCTGAGGGATTCTTGCATGATTTTTTAAGTGTCTATAATACCCTTTGCTTTGAAGAGAAGCGAGCACTGCCATTCTTAGAAACTAATTCTTAATATGTCAGTAAATTTGTATTCTCATAAGAAAGAAGGAAGAAAAGAAAGGTTTATTACGTTCAGTTTTAGTCGACGATTGAATGGATTGCTGACTCTATGTTATATTATTTGATCTTTTTCTGTCAAGCTTCATAAATATTGGTGGTATGAATTCAATTTGGGAAATTGGGGTGTCTTGTGAAATTGAAATTCTCTATTGTATTTTTATTGCGTTTCTATATGATCATAGATGCAGACATGTGAAAATTTTTGACCATTATCACAAATGATTTAAGAAAACTGAAGTGATAGTATTTTATCAAGTCCTTAGCTGATGATATAGCATTACATTCTTCCTCTCACAAAAAAGTCAAAAGTCCTTCCCAAACGAAGCTTTTTAGTCCCAGACTAAAATAGTCAAAAAAAGCCAAAAGCCAACCCACTTCCCAAACGAACCTCGAGATGGCTGTGTAGTTGGTTTTTCGCCCTCCTCGGAGGGGTTTGTCTCCTCAAGTACGATAGCTCTACAGTTCGGACTCTCGTAATTCTGAATCTGGTTCCACAAGTGCAATGTGAAATAGAAAAATGAATGAGAGTCCAAATCTAGCAAATCCTGGAAAATCCATTAATCATCAGAGATGCCAAAAATGGACTGCATTACCAGATTTCAGAGTCGCCACCTAAATATTTTTGAGAAATTTAGGAAACCTGTGACTTGTGCCAAAGGCCACTACTCCGTCATAACCAAAGTGTCTCGGCTCGGGAACTTAGGTATGAAAAGGAAATGTCATGAATTGAACACTTCACTCACCCGATCAAAGATCAGCTTCTACTGATCATGATGTGAATTTTATAGACATTATATGCTCATGTTCTGATTAATATACTAACATACTATGTGAAGCAAACAAGTATAGATCACATCACTTACTTTGGAGTGTTTTGATTTCATGTGCTTTGAAAAGAGTTTTGAAAATGTGCAACTTGAATGAAAAGCGAGCTTATATGTATACTAATCAAAGTCATTCAAACTTAAGCGAAATAGCCTTCATTCACAGGCATTCAAAAAGATATTTCAAATAAGCACGTAATCTCATGGTAGTATGTTTGACATGACAACACAAACACATGTAATATGCTAAAAAATGCTCACCTAGTAATCAATCGCGGTAAGCCAAAGAAAATAATATAATTAGAAAAATGCATGATCCTATATGCAAAATGGCTAATGCAAAATATACAAGAATGCAACTACTAGGTTCGGCTTATTAACATGTCATATGGATTAACTCAAAGTATGCGATAACGTATGTATTCAAGTAAGTAGAAAATGACAATGATATTCAAGAATGATAAACCGAACCTTAATACATGCAAAAATGGATAGAAAGCATGTTAATGATATGAAACGAAAACATGATGCTATATACAACCACGATAAGCATGTAAATAAAAAGGAGAAAGAAATGGGGGTTGGAAGACATACATCACATATTACAAATTTTCTCTCGCACAAGAGGGTCCAAATGAATGTCCTAATTAACTAATTATTACAAACACAAATGAATAAACTAATTAATTATTACAAGTCCGAATGAAAGCAACCAATTAATTATAAATATGAATCAAAGTGGCTAATCTAAAGGATTTAAACGAAAAGCGGGGAATCACAAGCGTACAACTAGGAACATTCTCCAGAAACCTCTCTGTTTGCTGCCAGAACCTACCCTGTTTACAGCCAGAAAATAGTTATGTTTTGGCCTCAGGATCTGCTTTGCTTTGCTAGAAAATTACCACTGCCGTACGACATTCTTGGCCAGCCGGCTTGATCAGGTGGTCGGCCGTACAGAATAATGGCCGGCCGGCCACTGTTTCTAAGGGATACCCTCCTGCAACAGATCTGGAACAGAGCAAAATAGCGTGTTTTCAAAAGCCGTTCATCTGCTCCCTTCTGTCATTAGGATTTTCAAAGAGGGAGTAGGTTTGCTTTCCAAATCATCAACCATAGCAAAGTTGTTGCATGATGATCATAAGAGCAATAGGAGAAGACTTAGCTAAACACCAAAAAAAAGATTACCTCCTTCCTATCATGAATTTATTCAAGGAAGAGGTTGACATGCTTCATAAACCATCAAGCATCACAAGCTAGTATGTGATGATTATGGAGCAACTAAAAATGAAAAATTGTAACAACTCAAAAAGTGTTGTCAACTCATCTCCCTACTCATGGAATAAGGATGAAACATCCATTTCCATGCGTCAAAGCCAAACTAGGAGAAAGTTTTCAACACTTTTCAAGAAAGAGCTCTCTAGGAGCAACAAAGCAAGTAAGGAAAAAAAGACAAAAAACAAGCTATTGATCAAAGTTTAAACACACAACTAGCCAAAGTTGTTGACAACTCCTCTTTTTCGTGGAACAAGGATGAGACATCCATTTCCATGTTTCGAAAATGATCGATAAGAGAGTTTTTCAATACTTTGAACACGGAAGCTACAACCTAGCTTCAAAGTGGACAACAATAACATGAAAGCAAGAAATTTACACTAGATAAGTGAACTTGTGGTGGGGTGGCTAAGCCTAAGCTCTAATCCTCCCATGACCACAAGGTTCCAAGTTACATAAGGAAAGCTAAAAAACGATCAACTCAATGAATTGGCTGCTATATCTTAAACAAGCCAAATTCGAGAGGACTTACAACGACACAAATATGATATTCAAAGCATAGGAAGTAAGAGCAAATGTAGTGGGGAGGACTAGGACCCTTTTATAAGCCTATATTCAATTCATAACACACAAAAACAACCTAAAAACAGTTTTAAAAGGTACTGAAATTTAACCAAATGAAGTGAAAAGAAGGTAAAAAAAAAATGAAAGAAAACAAAAGGATGTACAACTAGTGATCTAGCCAATGAAAGGGTGGCTAGCTCACTCACTTTTAATAAAGTCTTAATCACATTTTAAGCTTAAAATAGCTTTGAAATCAATATGTAAAGACAAAGAAAATGGAGAGAAAAGATGGTGAAAAAGGTCAAAGTTTACCTATTGAAAGAGAGGAAGAGCTTCTTGGTTAACAAACCTCACTCTAAACACTCCAAAGTTTCTAAAATTATGTTCAAAAACCTCAGCAAAAGCTTCAAGTTGAAGCTTGTATGGTGTATCTATTGTGTATCTATATTACAAGAGGGTAGAGAAGATTATTGGACAAACTATAGGCTCTTAGAGATTTTTTCTAACCCCAAACCATGAAGGGGTTGTTGTATTTATAGACTTTCAACTTCTTATGTCAGAAATATCTTCAAAAGAGACAACTGGTTCAAAGCATGTGCATAGAGCAGCTGGCAGCTGCAAAATATCTGCTTTTGCTAAACATGGCCGGCCGGCCATGAAGATTTACGGCCGGCCCAATGAAAATGGCCTGCCGGCCATCTGTTGGCCAGCTATTCTTTGAGTGGTCAGGCTAGAAAAAATAAGGTTTTGGTCCAAAGGAGGTGCAAGGTTTAGATTTTAAAGCTTGAAACCAAATCTTTTTGCTGAAGATTCGAACGATTGCACATTGTAACCTTTCATCATCGCGTGTTCAGAGTGAAGTGCCCAAGTCTTAAGGGTGGTCAAAAATGGGGTGTCTACAGGTTGCCATTTTCTTCATTACTGACTTATGAGAGACTAGTTTAGCTTCAAAAGCCTATTAAACATAATGGATGACTTTAATTTACACAACTCAAGTGTGCTCCTTGTTAAAGATTGGAGGATAGAAAAGAATGAAAAGAATTATTTGGCTTATCAATCAATGAGGTAGAGGCCATGTGTATATAATATATTCATGATACAATTTAGGAAACAATAAATACAAGGTAAGATTCCTATAATTAAAATAATTCCTATTCTAATTTTCATATTCAAACATAATAGTTTGGTTTCTATATTCAACACTCCCTCTCAAGTTGGTGTGAAGATATTCAACAAATGTAGCTTGTCAATGGAAGACTGGAGCAAAGTTGGTTCCACAGATTTTGTGAACATATCTGCCAACCGTTGAGAAAAAGAGACAAAGGATGGATGTACAATGCCAGTCCGAACCTTTTCTCGAATGAAATATATGCCAACTTCGATATGCTTGGTATGCTCATGAAGTACAGAATCAGAGGATAACATAATGACAGATTTGCTATCAAAAAATAAAGAGGAAGGAACAGTCTCCTCAAAACCCAACTCTACCAGAATAGAGCAAATCTAAAGAATCTCATATGTCCTATGTGCCATAGCCCGATACTCAACCTCTGCAGAAGACCTAGAAGCTACCGCTTGCTTCTTACTTTTCCATTGGATAAGATGATCACCATAGAAAGTACAGAAGCCAGAAGTGGAGTGCCGATCAGTTCTAGAACCTGCATAGCCTACATCGGTGAAACAGGAGAGCCTAGATTGGAGACCAACGGTAAAGAACAATCCTAAGCCAAGAGAAGTTTTTAAATACCTCAAAATATGATGAACCGCATCAAGTTGCTTTTTACGAGGTGCATGCACGAATTGACTCACAACACTAATTGTAAATGTTAAATCAGGTCTAGTGTTGGTCAAATAAATTAGGCGTCCAATAAGACGCTGATACATGCCTGGGTCATCCAGCAACTCACCAGACTCTGGTGTGAGTTTGACATTTGGATCCATAG